GACTTTAAAAAATATTCACATGCAGAGAGCTTAATTACTTTGTCTGGATTACAGTCAAAAAGAGAGTCACTTTATAAGCAGGCGGAAATGTGGACATAATTTTGACCCAATGGATTTCTTGGAAAAGTGTGATTCTCTGAAGGAAAAACATGAATCGAATACACAACCAGCTCGCAAGAAATTCGGGAGGAATTTGAATTCTGTTAGGCTGAGTTCTTTTCGTTGTGCCAACAAGCCGCTCCAAACTTGTCTGAATCACAGTTACGTAATGTACTAGGCTAAACAGAATTGTACCCTGACTGCACCCTTCTAAAAAGGTTTAAAACCTCCCAAGCGTTTTAAGACTTGGTTTTGTCCAATCGTGTTCAACGATTAGCGAGAATACTGGAAACTAGCATACAAGTAGCTAGACCCAGTTCCCACTTTCGTACTTTCCCCAGTCTTATTTAACCCTCTCCCTGGGAATGAGACTCTGCCCAGTCTTGTTAGATATATAGCAACTTTTGACAGAAAGAGTGGAACCAAACAGAGGAGAAACTAGTCCCAGTTTCCGCGGTTTTTGATACGCACAGTCTGAGCAAGGTCTTGCACCCTTATCCGATTTTCATTTTTCATTTTTCGTTTTCAGCCAACCAGGGGCCAGTGGCAGAAAGTGTTCTACATATCTGCCGGTCTGTACGTAGTTGGCTGGATCACTTATCTACTCCTCGGAAGTGGAAAACAACAGTCGTGGAATACGCCATTTGAAGACCTGCTGGTACCTGTTGATATTCCGAGAGAGCCAAGAATACCTGTTATGGCGGACATTCTGTCGATTAATAATCAAGACACGGATTTGTCACAATCTGGTGCCGAATGTTAAGGACAAAAAAGGTCATGGGCGTGTGGGCTCATTGGGACTAAGGGGGAGAGGGGAGAGAGGGTGGTGACCTTCTTGCCCGAACAAATTCACGCAATGCGTGAGTGTTGAAATCGGGATGCAAACGCACTCAAATTGCATGAAAAACAAAAACGTACACAATTCTCACATCCATTTAAACTGCTATAATTCCAAAAATAGTTATGCTGAAAGGTTGCATACTCAATGACCTCTATCAGCGGTTTCAATTTTTGTCAATTTGTGCCCGAATTTTTGTCATTTTTTTTTCGAAAAGTTATTGGGGGCTAGAACCCCCGTCCCCCCCCCTCCCCCACCCCCAGCTCGTACTCTTATGAAAAAAATTACGGTGAAACCATCTAAACCTTGAAGACATGAAGTACGGTTGGAATGCTTATTACGTAAAGTGAAAAAATTATCCTGGTTGCCGTGTTTGCAGATTGTTAACCGGAGTTAGTGTGTGTTTCTTCATAATTCAAATAGCCCGTTTCTGTGTTGCCTTAAGCCTCTCCATCAAAGCGAGGCTGGTGCACAACCATTCATAGGAAAATGAGTTTCATTTGTAGGTGAACGAAATTCATTTTCATATGAAAGGATGGGCACCAAGATTCGCTTTGAGGAAGAGGCTAAAGGTAATTCGGAAATGGCCTTTTGGTAGAGCATGACAACCGTGACGCGAGAATTTCGGGTTTAAGAAATACAAACCCGAAAGACGTTTATCACACTTTCAAACGCCTCGAATTTCATCAGATTTGAATACTCCGCTGTGGGTCATGTTTTCGCCTTTCTTCGTAGTGTTTGGAAATGTAATCAGACACTCTTTCGTGTTCGATATTTTTCTTGAACCCCAGATCGTTGTTATGTTGAGCCACGTGGGTTATAAAGTAAAGCGAATGCGTTGACTCGGGCACGAAAATAAGCTCCACACGTTGCCGTTTTCTTTCAAAACAAATTCAAGTTGTTCTTTTGTAACTCGGATTTCCTGTCTTTTGGGTCGTTTCTCCTGTTTTTCTTTTCGTTTGTTTGTTTGTTTTCGTTTGTTCCTGCGGTTCAGCTCACTCCTGATTGGTCGCTATTCAACATTCTGGACTTGTTTCTAGTGGTTATGACTTCACGGGCCTCACTGTAAAATTTACTCACCGGGAGATTGGGGGAATGATAACAATTTGTAGCAATGCTACTTTTAATATTTATAAAAAGAAACACGCAGCAAAATATAGAGAAAAGAAGTACTGTTAAAATATATGATAATATGTTTTACATCAAAGCATCTTGGACCTTTTTTACGACTTTTGGAGAAAAAATGCATTTATACAACAACTAATTAGCAAATTGAAGAAGTATAGTTCAAATAGTTTAAGTACATTGAATTTGCAGACAAATTTTAAGTTAATGCTTAAGTTATGTTTTGAAAGGTAAAACGTTTATTAATAAAAGAAAAATGCTCTGAGGTACAGCATTTAAAATACATCTTTCGTTATGTGTTTTTTTTTTTAATGAATACTGTATAAAAAAACTATCATACCGAGGGATCTTATCCAAGAAAAATTTGCATAAATAAAATCAAACCCGAGATGTAATCGAAGGTTTGTATAACTTCGAGAATTCTCCTAACCCTTCGATTTGTTAAGGTGAGGCTATGTAAACACGGAAAACTGCTCTATTACTTTTATAATAATACACATGAAAAAATTACTCGATTCTGATTGGCTAAGAGCAGTGCAGTTCAAGTGTAGCACCAGTGCAAAAAGTGTAACACCAATGCAAATTACACATCGAAATTCTGGATTATGATTGACTGAAAGAAAATAGGAAATTTTCTAAGAAAATGATATCACGTAAAATGATGACGAAACTTTTGTGCTGAAACTTTGAAAAGAGTTTTCTCAAATGAGAAAAAATGGCTTCAAGAAAGATCTTCCGGTACTTCCTCCGCACGAATTTTTTCATGTTTATATGATTAAGTAATCATACGGTTTTTCTCGTTCAATTTGGAGTTCATTTGCACTTGTGAGTTTTTCAAAAAGCTGAAATTACACTCGCCGAAGCGGCTCGTGCAATTTCAACTTTGTGAAAAACTCACTCGTGCAAATGAATTCCAAATTGAACTCGAAACCGTATGATTACCTATACTAAAATCTCAAATATACGCGCGAATCTAGAAAGTACAGTCACAACCGTGTTTACATACCCTCATCTAAACACACCTAGCAACCAATGAGAGCGCGCGTAGTAGCTCAGTTATCTTATAAATTAAAGTCGCGCAAAAAAAAAAAAACAAAAAACAAAAAACAAACAAACAACAACAAAAACAAAAAACAAGGAACACTAGAAACACGAGTAAAATAAGCTATTTTAATTTTGAAATCTTTCATTTTTCCTCAAAGTTTTCCTGGTGACCGTAAAATGTGCTCGCGCCTTACAAACTCTTACTTCCATTGTCACAACGTGAGGTTGGTAACTAATTCCTCCCTCTCTATGGTTCAACCCTACTTGACAGAGAAAGGGCTGGAACCGAACTAGAAACTTCTTTAATTTGAGCAACAACCTGGAAGGATGATAAGCTGATAATATAACTTAAGGGCTAAAATGTTTTTTGGCGTTATTTTTCAAGGTCTTTCTGGAGGATCATTAAACTTGTACCCGGTTTAATTAAATTTAGACTCTGAAAGCGATATTTAATCGTGTTAGACTAATCCAGGGAGTTTTCACCGTGTGGATTTGTTTGCCTTCCCGGTTCATTTCAGTTTCAAGGTCTTTCTGGGGGATCATAAAACTTACACCCAGCTTAATTAAATTTAGACTCTGAAAGCGATGTTCAATTAATTAATCGTGTTTAACTAATCCAGCGAGTTTTCACCGTGTGGATTTGTTCGCCTTCCCGGTTCATGTCAGTTTCAAGGTCTTTCTGGGGGATCATAAAACTTACACACAGCTTAATTAAATTTAGATTCTGAAAGCGATGTTTAATCGTGTTTAACTAATCCAGTGAGTTTTCACCGTGTGGATTTGTTCGCCTTCCAGATTCAGTTCCGTTTCTAGAAAAATAACTGAGAACTAAATGTGTATGCCGGTTTTAGTATAGTTTTTAGTTCCCTGTCGAAATCAAATCTTATTCCAGCATAATGAAACAACGTACAAAGCTTCTCAGAACAAACTTAAATGTTCTAAAAGGTTACCTTTTGGTCAGGTGCTTTAATTTCAACTTACACAAGTGGTTATATTAAGCGTTAATCCCGTCTCATTAGTCTTCCGGGGTTAACAATCTATTATAAATAAAAGTAGGGTTCGTGTAATTGGTTTTCTGCAACTCGGCGGTTAAAGTTCACCAGCTTAACCGTTCAGGGAAGTTATGCCTGCCGAGCCATGTTGTACTGAGAAGTCTATTGGATGTGTACGTGAAGATATGGTTTTAATTTTAAGAGCTATGATCGAGAGCCCCACTGTGAAAGTCCCGCCAAACGCCAGGGACAAGTGTAGAACGTCAAGCGTCCCGCGGTGTTTAATTGTACTTTAGCGTAGTTCACGTGCGAAGACAAGAATTTGTTTAGGGTGTATGTTCGGCTGTGTCGTTATTTTACAGAAACGTCATGTAAACGCAATATTTCAAAAAAAACTGAAGAAATGCCCAGCGGCTATAAATTGGCTAGAGTAAGATCTTTTTTCTCTCCTTTTTAGCGAGGGAACTAAACTGAATTCAATACCGATTAATTTTAAAAGTCTAACTTAATAATAGCAACGTTTATCAATACAGCGCCGTTCCTATGTTCATGGCGCTTTGCAAAGAAATGTGTAAAACTATACAATAAGGAATTTAATAGTTTATGTACAAAAGAAACAAGATTTAAAAGCTATGTACAATTCAAACATTTGTACGATTCGCTAAAATCATTCTGACATAAACGTTGTTATATCACAAATAAATTACTCGGCAATAATTACCTCTACCTCCTGAAACTTACACCGATTCTTTACCTCTTGTTTGTTTGAAACTTTCAACTTTTTTAGAAAAGATTTGCCTGCAAATGAGTCGAGTTAAAAGGGTCAAAAAATGATTGCTGTTTTTAGCTAGGCTACGTATCGGATACATACACAAGCATAAGATTGCTGACAAGGACTAAGTGTCTTAAAATGCATTTTGGTCAATATTGTACCGGACAAGCTTTGTACCTTTAGTTGGAATGTACTTTTTAACTAGCTGTGATAGCAGTGAGGTCGAAACTTGATAAAGATCTGCTTGTGCTCACCGATTTACACGAGCGATGCACAAAATAAGTGGGAGCGCAAGAAAGACAAAGATTACAGATTTCCTTGTTTCACGCTTATGTTTGCACCGTACGCCTAAGATTACTTCCTCTTCTCCCCGCCCTCTCCTCCCTTCTCGACCATTCTGTGTTTCGCGCGTGTTTTTTGCCTTCTTACTTCTGTTGACAATGACGTCACTGTCGGAAACCCATACGGAGCTTTATTTTTGTATTTCTTCAATCCGAAACGTAATTTTAGGATCTGACAACAAGATTATGGGTTTATTTATACGTCCACGTTTTTCAAAAAAACGGAAAACAATTTTAATAACTCTTTTAAATGTTTGCCAAAATAGAGTGAAATAACTCGCATGGATTTAGTCAGGGTTAGACCAAAATCCCAGTCAAGCGCGTGTAAATACTTGTTAAATTTGCAATTCTAAATTTGGATACGTGTTCAAACTTGCTGATTAGTTCGACAGTTCTACGTGCAATTCAATTAACAGGTATTAAATTATAGTATAATCCATCCAATTTGGAAATAACTGAATTCAAGAAATTCCTCAGACTGTTTAAACTGGACTACTCGTAATGTTTTTCATTCAGTTATTTTTCCGAATTGTACAGCGTATAGTCCTGTCACATATACTACCACCTTCCCTAACCGTAAACAACCAAAGTGTCTGCTGGCATCATAAAAACTCAGAAAAACTGCAAATGTTTTTCCGCTACACAAGGTCACTTTTTGCGGTTTCGGTCTTGAACCTTTTATTTCGGAAAGAACAAAGCATTTGCTTGATTTAAGTTGATTCCAACATGTTTTGTTGAGTCCCCGACGACTATTCAACCTTCGCCCACTGTACTCGCTTTGTCGACTCCTGCACTTAATTGGAGACCCGACGTAGTTTTTGTTCATTATTTTTGGCAGCCATGTATTTTCTTTGATACTTGAAAAACGCCTGGAAGAGGCTAGAAAATTATTAAATCTTGCATAAATGCTTTGTGGCTAAGTTTCAATTCTGCTTTGCGGAGCCCGTGGTTTTTTTCGGAATCCGGCGTTTAATCGAGCAAATTACGACATGTCGAATCTAGAAACAAAAAAAAGTTTATATATGTATGTCTGTAGAATCGTGTAGAATCGGACGAACTTAACTGGAAGAGCTCGAGATTGTTCGTCATTTGAATGTATGTAATCCACAAAGTGTGGATGATCCTCCTGCAATAGTCAGTTGCTTGACCATGAGAAGGGACTGGGGCCGAGAATAAATCTGCTGACAACCAAGGTTGTCATTTAACCAAAAGAACGAATCAAAGTCACAAAGTGGCATAGAGAAAGCACGTTCATTGCCGAATTGGTTATAATGTTTAAACTGCAGTGGAAAGGACCTTGCTGGAACCCTTTGTTCTACGTAAAAGGGCCTTTAAACTGACGTAAACAAGGCGGCAACTTGTAGGCCAATTCTGTGAAACTTAAATCTTCCTTTGGCTTTGTGACAACTTGTTAAGCAGCTCAGACCTACTTAGACCTTTATCTGACAACCGAGTTTGAAAATAAAATCATGATTGCTGAAGATTTCCAGAAACAAATGCTTCAGCTACTTTTCTCGAAAATAACTGCTACTTAAAACTATTACTGAAACACAAACGATTTCATCAATGTTTTGTACATCAATTTGAGCGCTATTGAGAACTGTCATCTTTGTATGAATAAACCGATAAATTTAGAAAGTTGTACATCTCCAACAAAGATGACCTTCGTTCGCCGCTTTTCACTGAACTTCTTGAGGCGGACAACAAAGGGAAGAAACTAAATCTGTAGTTAAGTGGTATTTTCAGGATGTCCAATGTCCAGCAACGGAAACTAACCACAATAAGGAGTGTTCTTTCTTATGCCTGCTTCTTATCACGTAGATGCATAAAGATCTGACAGAGGGCTGACAGACTGTTATGTTTTGGAGTTTCTGAGCTCATACGTAATTATCAACCAGACTGCCAGGCTATAAAGAGTAGGATTTCCCTCCGTGTTATTAGATGACTGTGACTGCCGGGTTGCATCTAAAAAACAAACAATAGTTATTACGGAGATATATTCCACTGTTGTTCCAATTACAATTACGGAGATATATTCCACTGTAATTCCAAGGACTCCCAAGCACTGAGGTAAGTTTTTCTCTTATCTAATGCCCCCAAAGGACCGATACAATCAGTTATTACCTCCTCAGTGTT